GCTGTTTGTTGCCCTCACTTCTTGTCCTTTTTGCAATCTCCAGGTACATATTCTGAAACCTGCATAATGTGATCTTCAAGTTGAAAGTGAAATGAGAAAATGGAAGTTTGGAGCTTGATGTTCAGTCGTGTGTATTGTTTATGTGTTAAGCTTGCTATTTGAGTCCTTTCTCTATGTAAATCTTAGCTTGTTATGCTGAATACTAAGGTTGCTTAAGTTCCTATGCATCTAATATGCACAATATGTTGATCCCTTTGATTAGAGTTAGTAGTAGCTTATTCAATTTGAATGGCTTTTCGATTACTGAGGTTATACAGATCCTACTGCTGTTGTAGATGCAGATTTGGTACTGCCCTTTAGTAGTTTTGTTAGAGATATGTTTTAGTTGTAATAATTGAACTCTTGTCACTCCTGAAGCATGGAAACTATGAAGGATTAATTGTAGGCTATATGGTAGCATAGTATTTAGTTTTAAGTGACAAAGAGACTGTGTCAGATGCTATTTTGCTTGGTTAGTATTCCTTTTCTTCATGAAGTAGTTCTGGCATGTGATTGATTTTAGTTAGAAAGTGGTAGAAAGTTGAAAGGCTTATTCAGCATGTTCAGATGTGGAAATTGAGGAATGAGCATAATTGTTTGGTCTTCATGGTTTTCAATAGTTGTAAACTTTTTTATGGTTTCATTAATTAGCATCTGAATGTGTTTTTAATAAAAATGGTTTAGAAAAGTTTTCAGTTAGCTTTAGTCAGTTCTTCAATGCCCAGCAAATTGTTAATTTAATCTGATGGTTTTGCATTGTCAAATTTCAAAGATACAGATGCCTAAAATTCTTTTGTTGTCACCTCCAAATCTGATTGCTTCCGCTACTATACGGGTTCGATATGCAACTCCGGAGCATTCAACTTGTGCATTATTTTGCACGAATCAGGCTCATTGGGCCTGAACACAAAACAGCCGGCCCAGAGTTGGGATAGGGCGTTAGGCCTCGTTTTGGCCTGTTTGATTTTGTTGGCTTCATTCCCCTTCTCGCTGGGTTTATGGATATCAATTGGTTTGGGATCCTTAGCAATATAAATTCTAAACTCCTGGAGTTTCCATCTCTATCATAATTAATTGACTTTTCTTTAAAAATTAGATTGGAGGTGAGCCATATTAGATAATACAAGTAGTTTATGGCCCTTCGAACTTAGTTTGAATACCCTTTTTAAAATGGAATTGAGGTGTGCCGCGCCAAATAAAATCCCACATGCTTGGCCCTCATTTAATTAATCTTGTTTTAATCCTTAGAATTCGAGGCGTGCCATTTAGCGAATTTTCATGGCCCTCGCAAAGTTGCAAACGCGTAGTTGCTTTAGGCGCGTTATTTTAATAATTTACCTTCCTAAACTCGGGTGCGCATTTCATGTGACCCAAATCCAAATCTTATTAACGTTGAATAAAATGTGTTTCGGGTTGCGGGTGCATTTCATGTGACGCGGTTCAAAAATATGTTTTAGATAACGTTGAAATCTTCCTAAAAATGAATAAAAGCGGTTTAAAGTTTAAAATTGCACCATAGGCTAAAATATGTATTAAAATCAGATAATAGGCCAATTATGTTAGTTTAAGCGACCGTGCTAGAATCACGGAATCCGGGGGTGCCTAACACCTTCCCTCGGGTTAACAGAATTCCTTATTCAGAATTTCTGGTTCGCAGACTTCAAAAGGAAAGTCGAAATTTTCCTCGATTTGGGATTTAAAATAAACCGGTGACTTGGGACACCAGAAAATAAACTATCCTAAGTGGCGACTCTGAACAAATTTGAATAAATAATCCCATTTCGAATAATGTCACTTAAATTGGAAAAACTCCCTTATACACTATCCTTCGGGGTGGTGTGTAAAAAAGGAGGTGTGACATGTATATAATTGTATAATAGTGTATAAAGATGTATAATCACAGAGTGAAAATATTCTTGATGCACTATGTATATAGGTGTATAAGAAGAATGAGAAGAAGAAGAAGAAGAAGAAGAAGAAGAAGAAGAAGAAGAAGAAGAAGAAGAAGAAGAAGAAGAAGAAGAAGAAATATAATAGTGTATAAGTAGTGTTTATACACTATTATACATTATTATACAAATGAATTCTATCAATGGAGCTTCACGTGTTCTTCTTCTTCCTTGGGCATACTAACAAATCAGAAAACTCAATTTCGAAATCGAATCTTCGAACCACCTGTAATAGCGACTTTTATTTTTCAAATCCTTAGTTAACCATTGGAATCCGGAAAAGAATTGAAGGAGAATAACAATAGTAGAGAAATTTTGTGGTGCAAAGGTTGACATGGGAAGAAGAAGAAGAACGAAGAAAAAAGGGGAACACAGAAAAAAGAGGTGGGCAACATGGTGAAAAGTAATTTTCAGGTTATGTACAACCTGGGCTACACTGGGTAAGGGCTTCAAACGTGGGTCATTTTCTGATGGGTTGTTGGACCAAGTGATAGGAGATGTAATTCGCCCAATTCCTTATTTTTTTCTCTCATCTTGCCCTTCCTTATTATTAAATAATCATATTTTATCATTTACCCTACTTTTTTATATAATAATTCTACTCCGTATTCTAATTTTATTTTAGTAATATTACAAGTTTATTCTTCATATTATTAATGCGTGACATCATGAAACGACGACAAACGATAAGATCTATCCAAACGTTGTGTTCATCATACAATACAATATATTGCAGTATTTTAACTTAAGTTAATTACTTGTCTTGTGAAATAAAACTATCCGTTTATATGTCAAAAAATTTAAAGTCTAAAAAGTATTAAGATATACTTGGAAAAAAGGTACTTGATGTATATGAAGATAAACTATGCTAAGTAAATAAATTTACTAAAGTCTAATTCACATATCTTTTACTTGCCCACATACAATAACAAAATATCAACATCTCATACAAGTGATAAATAACCCAGTTCTAAACTAAAACTATAGTAGTTAATTTGAAGTAGATACATCATTGTGAAGCTTCAAGATATATATTCTACTTATTGAAGACTAAAAAAACCAGCTAAAGAATGAGATTCAAATAAAATTCAAGAACATAAGTGAATATGGAAAGAATCTAACACCGAGTCATTTGAACAGATCTATGTCCGAAAGGGTTATGTTGTGACATTGTAATCTCCATTGCTACGCCCGTAAATCGTACACAACACGAAAAAAAAAGCAGCAATGATATAAACACTTTAAAGTGAAAAATAAGATAAATTAAATTTAGAAAACAAAATTTTTAAACGAATCAAAGGAAACACTACTTTGAGAATTAGTACACATTTATACTAGATAGGGGAATAAAAGTCCCATAAAATTAGCAAACAACGGTAAAACTTAAGAGTAGAATTGTATCTGTGTATAATTCGAAACCTTCTTGACTTATTATAGAAATCCATAAAATTAAACAAAACGGGTAAGCATTATTTCAGAAATAGATTAGGAAAAAAAAAAATACCTGCTGGATTTTCTGTTGTAATTTATAGCTCCAACCTTTTTCTATAATAAGCCATTACCTTACTTAGGTTTTCATCACAATGATGGAATTGTAACGGCAGCTGCACTTAAGTTGGGCCTCATTTTGTTTTAATATTTGAACGTATGTAGTGATTGCTCATTAGCAGTAAGTGTCATTAATGAAGAATATGAGTGTAATATATTGAATTTGTTATTAAAAGAATTAGACAAAAAGCCAAAAAAAGGAGAAAAAAGGAGAAAAAAGATAAATGATCTTTTAGGCCATAGAGAGGTGCCACATCATCTTGTCTATGCCTAGCTTTATATAATATATATAGATTCGCTTTATACTTTCTTATCAGTTACATATAAATTCTTTTTTTAAATTTTTTATTTTTTATTTATAATTTGATATAGAGAATGACATATCTAAAAAAAAATAGAAGAGGTTTCTCCTATATTGATAATAAAATTCTTCAACAAATATTTACTAAAAGTCTAAATAGATTCAACACAAAGTCACATATGCATTAATGAACTTGCACGTGGGCAACAAATATTATTTGGTTGAGATTTAAAAAAGATTAGCAAGATATAGTTGAAGTTTTGTGAGTAAAAAATTTAAAAAACTTCTTAAATTTATTTTTCCAACTTAAAATTCTATATTTCGAGTTATAAATTAAAATAATGGCCAATATGCTAAACTAATATGTAGCGACCAGTTTTGCCCTTTAAAATTCACCAAATATTATTTTAATTTTTTGAGCCACAATCTACAAATAGGGTCGTATATTTGTTTAAGGAATTAGCAATAATTGATTATACGGGGTTTACCATTATAGGAATTTTGCTTAGAAGAATTAAAATTTTGAAGAAGAATTTATATATAACTTATATGTAAGTCCAAAATGGGAATCGAAAATGGTGAAAACTTAGGGATGTATGTAATAGTATTATAAATTGCATTCGACAAATATAATTTATAAGTAGCGTTTAAGTCACATTTGACATATGCAAGTCGTATTCCGCCATGATTTGTATTATTATCGATATTTGTATTTTTTTTTTGTTATATTTTATCCTTAAGTCACAAATGCATTTTGCATAGATGTGATAGTATAAAAATTTATTATTAATGTATATGTATTAAATTTTAGTTACGTATTAGTATAATTTTTATGCATTAATGCTTAAAGAGATAATTAAATGATAGGAGTAACATAGAATAAATGAAAGTAACATGTTATAATAAGTTAAATTATATAAGAAAATTTACAGTAGAGTATATCCTCCAACATTTTTGTCTTTATTGATGTTGTTCAACGACAATAACAAAGTTCTCAGCTTCGCTATCTCCGCCTTCCTTTTTCTCCCTATATAAAAGCTACTCTCACTCACACTAAATACTCTCTCCATTTCCCTCTCATTTCCTGCCGTTAACTACCTCCGCCGTCCGCCGGCCGCTATAAATCCCAATAAATTCGCCGTACCTTCAACCCGATCACCGAAAATTTCCTTAAATCTCAAAATCCTACTGAGAAAAACGATGTCGCAAGCTCTTAACTTCTTCGTTTCCTCTTCTTCACGTTCTCCGGCGACTTTCACAATCTCAAGGCCGTCAGTTTTACCGTCAACCGGTAGTTTACGGTTACCGGTGAAGAAATCGTTGCGTACGTTAGTTGCAAAAGCGTCAGCGGGGTCAGATCTCGACGAGTCGCAGACGTTGCGGGTGTTAGTATCGGAGAATGGTTCAGGAGGGGTATTATCGAGTGCGACGCAGGAGTACGGTCGTAATGCTGCACCGGGGACCGATTCGAGTTCGATTGAAGTGGATACAGTAACGGAGGCGGAGTTAAAGGAGAACGGGTTTAGGAGTACACGTAGGACAAAGTTGATTTGCACGATCGGACCTGCCACGTGTGGGTTTGAGCAGCTGGAGGCATTAGCTGAGGGAGGAATGAATGTAGCTAGGATAAATATGTGCCATGGAACACGTGAGTGGCATCGTATGGTGATTGAGAGAGTGAGGAGGTTGAATGAGGAGAAAGGGTTTGCTGTAGCTATTATGATGGATACTGAAGGTAGTGAGATTCATATGGGAGATCTTGGCGGCGCTTCTTCTGCTAAAGCTGAGGTACATACTCCCTCTGTCCTAATTTATGTGATGTACTTTACTTTTTAGTTTGTTCCAAATCAGTACCTTTCTTTGTTTTAGACATCAAGTTTCAGAAGTCTTTCTTTCTTAAACTCCATGCATAGTCAAACAACATTACATAGATTGAGACTGAGGGAGTATTCAGTTTGAATTTGGTATAACTATCCCTTTCATTTCATGAAATTATAAGCTTATCTCTATTTATACTGTAATCTGGATCATGATAAGTCTTGAGGTATAATCGTGAAATGTTTTTATTTAACAGCAGCAGTTGGTTGTTGGAATTAGCTTAATTTGTCTTTTATAAGTACTTTCCTTTTATTGTTGTTGACTAGAATTGGGAGGGAACTAAGCATGGTATTTAAGTGGCGAGGGGGAGGGGGGAGGGGGGGGGCTCATTATCCTCGAGTTTTGAAGACTGGGGTTGGCTCTAAGGGTTGGCCTGGACGAATCTCTCGGTCATAAAAGAAAAAAAAAGAAGAGCTGGGATGCTTTGCTTCCTTAAAAAAAGAGGAACCGGGAAGCTCTGCTTAGCTTGAATCATGTTGGTGAACTAAGTTTAGTATTTAAGTGGAGTGGAGAAGGGTAGAGTGGCTGCCCATATCTGTCAAGATTGGTAGTTAGAAACAATAGAATTGTCAATAAGAATAAAAAAACCAGGATTCTGCAACCTTTCCAAATCAGTGCATTTTGCTATAATAAACTAAGGTTCTATTTGGGAGTGTGCGGTAGCTTTTAAGTGATTTTTCCAGTACTCTTTTGAAAGAAAAAGTACTTTTCGTGTAGCTTTAGATAAGTACCTTCTAGTGCTTCTGTAAAAGAAGTACTTTTTGGCACTTTGTTAAGCGTTTGATACATGAATCATACCGAACACCAATTAGTCTAATTGACAGTATTACTCTCGGTCACAATATTTAGGGTGAGAATGTTAAACTGTCTATTGAGTACATAAAAAAAGGACAGTTTGTGCACAAAACATCCTACGTTCAAGCAGGGTCAGGGAAAGGGCCGCATCCCAAGGGTGTAATTATATAGGCAGCTTACCTTGACATAAGCTAAGCATCCATGGCTAATTCCACGACTCAAACTCGTGACCTATAGGTCATACGGAGACAACTTTACCGTTGCTCCAAGGCTCCCCTTCTGTCTTTTGAATACATACTCCCAAATTAATTGGGATTGGCTGAGGTTCATCCACCAAAGCTGAGGTATATATTCAGCTTGAATTTGGTATGACCGTTCGTTTTAAGAAATTGCGTGAAATAAAAAGTTTTACAGTGGCAGCAAGCAGGAATTTGTTACCAGATTCTGGTTTATGGATAAGTAATTTCTTGACATATATTCATAAGTACTTGTAGAGAAACACGAGAAAAGTAAAAGTACCTCATTGAAACGACTAGGAAGGTAATTCTTTTTATTAGTACTAGATAAGGACTTCTACGAAGCTACTGAACACCCATTAGAGACCTTAGTCAATTACAGTAAAATGCACACAAATAGAAAGTCTGCACCTTCCAAAAAACCCCGATTCTTCTCACACCACAACAGAACCAAACCAAATATCGCTAATTCCCACAAATAGGTACTTTAGCAAATTTCGACCATTAATGAAATTTATTACCTTATCAAAAAAATAAAATAAAATAAACTTCAACTACAAAAGTTTGTGCTTTAAGTCAAAAGTGGGTAAATTTAAAATGGTGCCTACATTTGAAGCTGGAAAGTAGTTTTAGAACCTCTGAATTGAGCCCTCTGTAAGTGTTTTTTTTTTTTTTTTGCCTAAATCTGCAGAGGAAAACTGATTTTACAAATTTGACAAATACTTGATGGGGCCTAGATGCTGCCTGATTGATACAATAAAAATAACCTATACTCTCTGTGTGGTGTCAGCAAACATGACTTGCCATTTGGAAAGCTGTGTTAAATCATTGAAAAATTCTGAGGTGGGTGCAAAACAAAGCTGGAATCAGGATATATGCAGGCAANCTTTTCTCCCGGCATAACCTATGGACCTCCCTGGCATAACCCAAGGACCTTTTTTCTTTTATCCCGGCATAACCCGTGGACCTCCCTGGCATAATCCAAGGATCTTTTTCCTTTTTATACCGGCATAACCCGTGGACCTCCCCGGCATAACCCAAGGACCTTTTTTCTTTCCTCCACGGCATAACCCAAGGACCCTTTCCTTCTTTTTCGGCATAACCCAGTCATTTTCCCAGCATAACCTGGCAATCTTCCCGATTCGGGACTGCATTCTCTATTCCCAAGGATACACAATCCTGACTTTTATTGTTTTCAATGAAGAATAAGTTCAGATCTTTGTCACAAATAACTCACGAAATTTTCCTAGTGAAAACTGGGGCAGAAAAATTTCGTTCATTTGTTTTGGCATCTGAGCAGGTTTGATCCCGAGGCACAGGATCTAAAGTGGTCGAAATAATGAGCCTCAGTCCAGAATAAAGAAAAGAAGAAAAGAACAAAAAAGAAGTGAATTCAGAATGATGAAGCAGACAAAGATGCAGACTGCTCAAAATTTGATTTAAAGTCACAAGCTTCGCATGTCCCGCTTTGATCCAATGCTGAAGAAAGAACCAGCACATGCAGCTGACGAGCATCAAGATTCAGATCGGAGTCAACAACAAAAACCAGCTAAGACTCAAGATCAAGCTTCAAGAGATTTATAGATAGGAATCTTGTAACTCGTAGTTGACAGGCCTAGCTAGCTTAGCTTTTGATTTTCCTTTTGGTGTAATAAGGGGGTTAGCAAGCAGTAGCAGCAGCAGCAACAGTGAAATCACAGCTTCCCGGTAGTCCCAGCTACCAAAACTTCTAGAACTACACTGACTTGATTCCTTTATAGCCAAGGATATGTAGGCAACCTCTGAAGCAAGGTTCGGTCAGACACTTTTCAAAAATGCTTCTCATGGAGTGCCAAGCAGGAAAAAATCCCTCATCGTTGCTCATTTTATCTTTTCCCGAAAACCCTTCGTGTCTCCGAGCAAAGAGGGGCAGTTGTGAGCACGTGATTTTTGCCTTGTATGAATTATCCTACAGAATCCCCAAAATTAGGATTTTTCTTCTTTTATTTGGTTTTTAGGAATTAATTGCATAATTTTCGTGTTTGTTTGCATTTTTGTGTGTATTTTTAATTTATTTAATTCATAAAAATATAAAAATACATTGCATTTGCATTTAGGATCCAATTTTATATTTTTTAGGTTAATTATTTAATTAATGTTACAAAAATGAAAGAAAATACCAAAAAAAAGTTCAGTTTGCATTTTAACTTCTTAATTTTTGAATTTGTTATAGTTTTCTTTTATTTTAGGACTTAATTAATTTTTAAAGAGCAATAAGTTTCTTAAGCTAATTTTATAATTAAATCAGATTTTTATTTTTAGTTAATAAAATTTGAAAATGAAAAAAAAAAGAGAAAAGAAGCAAAAGGTTGTCAAGAATTAGAGAAATCAGATTTTGGGCCAAATCCAATTAAAACCCCAAGCCCAATCATTTATTCTCCTAATACCCGTCCAAATAGCCCCAAAATCAGGCCCAGTTCTGCCTTACCCGACCCATTTCCCTCACTTAACCAAAACGACCTCGTTTAGACTATTATTCATCTTAGCCGTCGAGGTTGGCTTGATCCAACGGGGGAGAAGTGGGGATCAAATGATATATAACTGTCCTAAGCCCCCTNTTAAGAGTAGAATTGTATCTTTGTATAATCCGAAACCTTCTTGACTTATTATAGAAATCCATAAAATTAAACAAAACGGGTAAGCATTATTTCAGAAATAGATTAGGAATAAAGTATGGTCTAATTACAAACCAGAAAAAAAAAAATACCTGCTGGATTTTCTGTTGTAATTTATAGCTCCAACCTTTTTCTATAATAAGCCATTACCTTACTTAGGTTGTCATCACAATGATGGAATTGTAACNAGCTGTGTTAAATCATTGAAAAACTTGTCAGATGGGTTTGTTTGGCACAAGTGGTTGGATCTTTGCTACAATTTTGAACTGAATTTTCTTTCCAAGATATTTTTAGAGAGAATAACCTGAGAGATAGTTGCAAAACTAGTTTGTTTTACTGCTTTACTGGTCTCGGCATTTGTATCTGCTTGAAATTTTATGCATTTTAGAGCTAGAAAGAACATTGAACACCAGCATAATCTGTGAAATTCTGTTGGGGGCTATGGAGAACAGTGAATAGTATCGGTTTCCCTTATTGTGGATAAATGTGTAACAGCTACTTATTCTCTTTATACAGGATGGTGAAATTTGGAATTTCACTGTTCGTTCATTTGATCCACCACTCCCAGAACGCACCGTTACTGTTAACTATGATGGCTTTGCTGAAGGTTTGCTCTATAAACTGTTAATTATGATGGCTCTGCAAAAATAAAATGATCATTTTTGCCAAGACTTTCTATATGTTTTCACTGTCACTCCTTATACTTGGATCAACTTTTAATTTTCGCTTAATTTTTGGCTTAACGACTTCATTGCAGATGTGAAAGTGGGTGATGAGCTACTAGTAGATGGTGGAATGGTGAGATTTGAAGTGATTGAGAAAATTGGCCCAGATGTTAAGTGTCTTTGCACAGATCCTGGACTTCTTCTACCTCGGGCTAATCTGACGTTTTGGCGGGATGGTAAACTAGTAAGGGAACGCAATGCCATGCTTCCAACAATTTCCTCAAAGGTTTGCACCTATATTCCTTCCAGATCCTTTGAATATAATTATGAGTTTTGTTTACATAGTTACAATTGAGATCTACATCTCTGGTTTAGCTGTTTTTGACATGAACTTTTTTTCTTATTTTGCACCTTTTATCTAGTTCAGTTATGTTGCACCTTAATTTTGTCAAAATTAATTTAATCAATAGCTCGGACCATTAATACCCTCACTATTCCAATTCACGCGACACTTTTTCCTATTTTGGAAAATTGTTTGACACCACTCTACTAATATTATCATTGGATACACCTTTGACAAATTTCAGGTATTCAAATTCATCTTACAAGCACAAATTAAAAATTCTGATGTGACGGTTTTCCTATCAAACCAACATTTGGACTACTACTTCAGTATTTTCTTCCACTACTACTAATAGTACAATGGCATCAAATTAACTTATTTTGTGCCTAATCATTTGTCATTACATAACTTGGGAAGGAGGGATTATTAGAATTTAGGGTATCTACTTTCTCCCAATTGCCAAATTGCATTCTTCTTATACCTAGCACCAAGGATCTTCTTCCAGATAATTGTTTAACTTTTTCCCGTAAATGTTTGCTCACATTTTGAGTAGGCATTGTACTTCAAAAGTTTTTCCCACTAATTATAACTCTCTTATTTGCAAAAATAATAATTCTGTGTCTGTACCTCTTGATTCTTTAGAAGAATAATTTATTTTACTCATAGAGGGGAGGGGGAGGGGGAGGGGGAGGGGAAACGCGGAGGGGATTACATGGTGGGGAATCGAACCCCTATCAATAAGGTGGAAGTTCAGCTAGATAACAAACCAGCCGGGCTACATAACTTTCCCTCTACCTTTTGACTTATTGCTCTTAAACGCGTGTATCATTTTTTTACTTAAATCTTTAATAACACACCCCAATCAGAACATACACAACAAAATGGGACAAAAGAGTAATTTATATCAGCTAAAATTTCCAGATATTCTAACTTTAAACGGAACTAGGAACTCTTAATAGCTGAATCTGACGACTTTACTCCTGTGTGACAAAAATTTTGTACTGTGACTTCTAGTATAATAGCTTTTAGAATACACTGCGATCTACTTCCACCAAATTTAACACAGGATCCATGTATACAGCTGTTTTAATTTTGCTTCACTGAAGAAACTTAGTACATTTAGATGGTCTCTATCTCAAGAATTTTGTTGCTGCAGGATTGGCTAGACATAGACTTTGGTATTGCTGAGGGTGTTGATTTTATTGCTGTATCATTTGTCAAGTCTGCTGAAGTCATTAAGCATCTTAAGAGCTACATTCAAGCCCGGGCTCGGGATAGGTAAGAATGTAGTTTCAGCATGGAAAGGTGCATTTAGCAAGATGCACCTTTTTACTTCCAAATATCACTAAGATGTTAGATTATCAGTGATCAAATTATTCATATATCCACCTTGACGGTGCTGTGCAGTGATATTTCTGTAATAGCAAAAATAGAGAGCATTGACTCATTGAAGAACTTAGAAGAGATAATCCAGGCATCAGATGGTGCTATGGTTGCGAGAGGAGATCTTGGTGCTCAAATTCCATTAGAACAGGTTCCATCAGAGCAGCAAAAGATTGTCCAGATATGCAGGCAGCTGAATAGGCCTGTTATAGTAGCCTCCCAGCTGCTGGAATCTATGATTGAATACCCTATTCCAACTAGAGCTGAAGTTGCTGATGTTTCTGAAGCAGTTAGGCAAAGGGGGGACGCTTTGATGCTTTCTGGTGAGTCAGCCATGGGACAGTTTCCTGAGAAGGCATTGACTGTCCTAAGAAGTGTTAGCTTGAGAATTGAAAGAATGTGGAGAGAACAGAAACGCCATGAAGTTATTGAATTGCCATCCATAGCATCTTCATTTTCAGATAGTATTTCAGAAGAGATCTGCAACTCTGCCGCCAAGATGGGTAAGATTCTATTTTTGTGAATACTGATTGTATTGCTTTTTTTAAATTTGTTTTATCGCCCGCAGATGTAAAATTACCTTCAGATTAGACTAATTAAATGGTAAAATAGTGAAAATCATGAATATTCACACACTGCGTGTAAACTGTAAAGCTCTTTTAGCATTTTCACTGCGTGTAAACTGTAAAGCTCTTTTAGCATTTTCCCAATATTTATAAAGTGAGTAAGTAACTTCAAGAAACTGGGCATGTTTATAGTTTATAAACAAGCAAGAAATAAATCTGAAAAATAGGAGAATTAACAGAAAGCTGCATGATATGAGGAATTTTTCTGATCTGCTCAATTTTCAACATAGTTAGAAACAATTAAGGGTGGAAATAATAAAACCCTCATAATTATGTCAGAACAACTTGAGTATCATGAATCTCAAATATTCTGGTTCTGATGCACAGCTATTAGATTTTCATGGTTATTGCATGCCTTAACGCTAGAACCAGATAAAAAACACAGTAAATTTCTATTTATGGTTCAAAGTGTAGGGAATGCTGAGAAGTGTCTACAAATAATAAATACTCATCCTTGCAGCATGTCAACTATTGTCTGAAAAATTATCATTTGGACACATTTAAGAATTAATATAGTTATTCAGGATGAGTTTTTGGAGAATTCAGTTATTCTAGGAAAATGCCTGGTATTTAAGTGGAGAAGGGTAGACGGGCAGGCCCATTTCCACTGAGGTTCAGACTGCGGGCCAGCTGGCCTTCGTGGATTTTCTCGGTTATCAAAAAAATGTGGACGGTTAGAGCACTTGGGGGGTTGGGCTGGGGGTGGAGTGGAGATTCCTTGGACCTCTACATGAAGGCTTGTAATGCTTTATGATAAAGTCATTTTGACCGTGTGCTTTTTGGTCTCTGTTAAAATTTCAAATACATTAAGGTTATTAATTCTTCAAAAAGGATGTGTATGAAAAGATGCGTATGTACAAAAGTGCACGTCATCCTTACATGTGTCTAACATTATGTCACTATCAAGAGAGGGGGGGTAGCAAACACATTTAATTATCATCTGCAAAAGAATGTTATTGACCACAAAGCTTTTAATTCCCTGATAGTTTAAAATCTTTACACTGTACTGCTGCAAAGATAAATAAGTAGATATTATCTGCCTTTTCTTTTTACAAAATGGTATGAAGTACTTATTCTATGCTATTTATTGGATAGAATAAGGCTGATTATATATTTGTATGTGGGTTGGCAGTCAGCTGACAAAAACTTAACATAGATGTCTATTGCCTTCTCAACCACATTTTTCAAACATGTCATCTCTCAGTTCAGACTTTTTTTCAAGCAACTGGAAAATGTTACTACCTTTTTCAAATACTAATGAAATGAGTTGTGGGAGTAAACCAAAAAGCGCATTTCCCACCCTAATAGTCATCATATATTGAAGGAGTCTTCAATATTACACTTCATAAAGAAGATGGTCCTGAATATTACACTAATTTATAAATACAAAAAAAGGATTCTGAATATAACCCTGCCTTTGTATAAAGGACCGTAATCTTCTCTACTTCTCTATATAATTGCCTTCCATGATGCTGCCTTCTGGACAATTCATACGAACTGCCTTGTCCTGCTGTAGATTCTTTTGGTTGAGAAAATACAGAATTTGGGCTGATCACTCAGGTACTCTTTTGGTCATTCTATCTTTTCCTATCTTAAATAATGAAAGAGGTAACTCTGCCCAAGCCTTGGTGGGCAAAGTTACTTGGTACCTGTGCTGGTGGGATATAGCAGGTACCTGGTGGAATTAGTCGAGGTGCGCGCCAACTAGCTTGGACACCACCGCCATTAAGGTTACTGAATGGGATTAGCTTTTCAATGTTCATCTTCATGAAAGTACGTTCTAGAAATAGAAGAGGAAAATGAAAGATTAACTAAGCCAAGCCTCTCTTTCCAAGCTGGAAGAGGCAAATGTTATTTGAAAGTGATTCTCGTAAGAATTTTATTTCTTTATGTGAGTGGGAGCAAGTTTAATATCTTCCAGAAGTATTACATTACAGTTTTGTGGGACGATAGCAAGTACTTTGTTCTGAGCATATTGATGAAAGTTTGAACTCAGGAGAAGAAAACATATCCTAATTTCGAATCATGGTCTTTTATATTCTAGTCTTACTGTTTGATCCAATGCTTATTTCTGTTGTGCTGTGCAGCTAACAATTTGGAAGTTGATGCTCTTTTTGTTTACACCAAGAATGGGCACATGGCATCTCTCTTGTCACGCTGCCGTCCTGACTGCCCAATATTTGCATTTACAACGACAACATCTGTACGCAGACGCCTGAACCTGCAATGGGGTCTAATGCCTTTCCGCTTGAGTTTCTCCGATGATATGGAAAGCAACCTCAACAAGACATTCTCCTTACTAAAAGCTCGGGGCATGATCAAGTCAGGTGACCTCATCATTGCTGTTTCTGACATGCTGCAGTCCATTCAAGTTATGAATGTTCCATGAGTCCACATATTAGTTCTGTGTTAGAGTTTTGAGCTAGGCAACCCCAGTTATATGCCCAATTGAACCAATTATGAAGTTCAACGGTTGGTTCTGCTAGGGAGTAAAACAACGACGAGCAATCCTTCCTCAGTGTGTCCTCGCAATCCTTCCTCAGTGTGTCCTCGTTTCAGGTGCTGGACCTCAATGACATTTGGTGTAACTCAACTGTCGCTTGTAGTCAACATAGAATGTATACCCCCTGTTTTCCTAGGATTCGGAAGATGTATCTTCTACTTGAGTTATTGATTTAGAAGTGAGCCTTAGAAATGATCGCGATAATTATGGATTTGTTCTTACAATTGCTTTTAGTGTGCTGTCTTTGGTGTTTTTTTTAATGATCTATCGGTTTGAATTACCTTTTGGAGATTTGTTTAATATCATTTGGCCTAAATAGATTGTTCATCTGATTGACATTGACAGGATATAACCTGTCTTTAGTTTGTCAAAAGAAAGAGCAGTACAATGGGAAAATTATCAGCCTCATATTTTTTGATTTTGATTTCTGTGTTTTTCGACTGAGATATATTTGTTTCAATAACTATACTGAAAATACAGTCGGATCTCTTTATAACATATCGCTATATGACAACCATTTACTATAAAAGGTAGGTTATTTTTAGATCAATTTTTATGTTATGTTATAATATATGTTCTTTATGATAGCACTTCGTTATAACAACCAAAAAAATCTTGAACGAATGAGGCTGTTATAGAAAGGTTTGACTGTATCTGTGTACTTTTTATGAATTATTAGTCGATTTATTATAAGGTGTAGTTTGTATCTGTGTACTTTTTATGAATTATTAGTCGATTTATTATAAGGTGTACTTTATCATCTGATTGCTTATAGATATGGAGTTGGAATAAAAAGTGATTTTTTCTCTATGGGGCAAATTATGAGGTTCTCTAATAATTGAAGGTTCATTATTAGATTCTGGGTATTTTATTTATACATTAATGCTTCCAGCTCTACTACGATAATTAATCATAATTGAAACAAACATAGAATATGATTGATTTAAGTGGAGTAGACTCCAAAATCACAAGGTCCCTGTATTGACAAAGAAATTACATTTATTAAAATAAAGAAGAAAATATTAAATAAGAAAAAATAGCTGGCAAGACATAGATACAAGAAAAAACAACAAATAACCAACTCCTTAACCAGAGGTCTCGTGTTTGATTGCCCTTGAGCCGAGGTTTTTTGTAAATTTAAAATTATGCAATAATTTTTTTTTCTTTTTTAACGAAAGAGAGTAATAAATATTCTCTCCATTCCACTTTAATTGATTTTTTGGATGTTTTCACACATTAAAAAATTCTTTTTGCATTAATTAACAATAAAATTGATCATATTAACCTTAATTTGTTCATTGAAAATATAACAAATATTCCTAGGCTCTTTACTCCGACAACAACTTTGAAAAAAAGAAGTTAATTCCTTTTTGATATTTGAAAAAATCAAATATTATGGACCAGAAACAAAAAAAAAAGACAAAAAAATCAATTAAAGCGGACCGGAGGGAATAATTGAAGAAGGAATAGGAGATCTGAGATACTAGGTTCAGAATTATTCTTTCAAATAAAATTTTGTCCCAAAAATTGACGGTATTCAATTTTAAATGAGTTGTCATCATCTTTCTTATTAATTAGTGTCTGTTTCTTGTTATATTATGTTAGAAAGTCATTTTCTATACTGTTCTTATCTTTATTGTTATAGTTATTTTATTGTTATAGTTATTGCCATGTAAGTCATTCTCCTTATTGTTTTTTTTTTCTTTTTCTGTGTGGCTATTTTTGTTGTTGCATTGAAAGTTCAATGTAGTTTCCTCTCTTTAAAAAAATAAATATAAAAAAACAACAATATCAGTCTAGTATAGTCTCCTCTTGCATGTATATATTAGACTCCCAGAACCTTTACGAGAAAATAAATTTTATCTACAATAAAACCACCAAACTTCCTTAGAAGTTCAAATGAGTATTAATTTTTGTAAGTAAATAAATTTGCACGCGATGTTTAGTTTGTTTTAATCTTGAAAAGTAAAATCATTTTTGCATAATTTTTTATCGAGTAAAAACAACAAGAAGAACAATCACAAAAATGTTATTTCTCCTTTTTCCAAATTTCATATATATAAAGGGCAGTCCGGTGCACTAAGCTGGCCGGACCACAAGGGTCTATCGTACGCAGTCTTACCCTGCATTTCTGCAAGAGACTGTTTCCATGGCTCGAACCCGTGACCTCCTAGTCACATGGCAGCAACTTTACCAATTAATATATGTGTGTGTGTGTGTGTGTGAGAGAGAGAGAGAGAGGGGGTTAGTAAAGAGAAAAATTAATCCAAGCTTTGCAGGATGAGATTGTGATCAACATAAAACATGTTTTTTATTATAAAGAGGCAAGTAGATGGTACAAAAGAATTTGTTTCCATATAAATTTACCATCCAATATATCTTTTTTCTTATATATTTGAGTGTAGTGGTAGAATGTATATGGTTGTACAAGACAAGGAAACATGAATGCCTTTAAGAAGTTAGCCACTTGGAAGTATATTCCTGAATGATATGCAGAATATAATTTCCTTTCTTTTTTTTTTTCTTCTGAAAATAATAATTGGATTAGGTTGAAATGGGCAAATGATTCATAACCACCAAACTTTCTATTGCACAAGTCACAACCATGGCCTCAAAAACTATCAAGTTCTATAATTTCAAAGTGGGACCCTTCACCTGCTTTTTGATTGTATTTCTGAAAAATAAATAATTTATTTTTTGGATGTGACTTGAAAGCCTATTATTACCTGCTACACTAAAGTACCATCAATTTTGATGACAACCCCATTGACATATCACTTAATTTTGCTACTCCTATATATGTTCTATACTTTTTCGGGGATCCTTGGAACAACGATAAAATTATTTTTGCGTGAAAACAGTTACTAATATTTGTATTTGGGTAGGATGTCTCCGTCATATCCCTTGATGTGCAGTCCTTTCTCGAACTATGCATAAATACGAAATACCGTATGTACCGAACTACACTTTTATGTTCTTTACTTTCAAATTGTGGGGTTTCTCTGTTGCCTTGTTATTTTTACTAGTAATTCATAAAGGTCCTTTTCTTGTGATCATGGACTAAGTCATGCCAATAAGAAAGGAATATTACCTCTAATTAATTTTATTACATTTTTAACATTAATTGACCAACTTGAATATTGGAAAAAGAAAAGGTGATCATAATAGACTGATTTGGAATTTGAATTTATGAGTTTTTACAACGATCTCGAATTATATATACATAATAACTAGGTTCAATAGTCAAATAATTATAAATATTTAGTAAATATCAGTATAAATGTAGGATTTAGGCAAAAACTAATAGATTCATGAGAACCTATATGCTTATAGCTAGATCCGACCAAGGTGACCACCAAGGAATGTCGTGGGATGAATGAAATCGATCCCTTCCCTCTTAAGTAGAGAGTTTTAGGATTAAAACCTTGGGAATGGAGAAACCCCTAGTAGGAAGCGTTTCTTCTTTTAATGATCCTACACAATGTGTATTTGAATTAGTCGATTCAATAGATTGGATACAAGAGGTTATGCAACAAAAAAAGTAAATTTAAAATATTACTATATTACTTCTTCTTCTTTTTTTTTTTTGTAACTTTTGGAAAATTTTCAGATATTTTTAGCTATACAAAACTGTGATTTATACTTTAATATTTTAGGTGAGTTTTAAATATTTAAATCTTATTTTAAAATATAAAGAATCAGTGTCTGATTTCACACAACTAATTAAATAATTGATCAAAGTATTTTGAACTTTGCAAATCGTTTTGGGATGAAGAGATTAATAGGTGGATAATTAATTTTTGTAAGGATATTATAATGTTTAGGTTTTTGCCAAAGTAAAGAAAATAAGCCAAAAGCAAGAATCCAAACAACTATGATGAATCTGATGAGAAGTATAATATTGATAAAGAGAAATGAACAAAAACAATGCCTTGCATTTTACATAATTTTTCCTTGTCAGAACAACTTTCATGTCTTTATCAGTCATTTTCTCACTTTAAATAAAATCATTATTCCTCTTGTGAATTTTTGATACCCTATTTTTTTCCCTAAGTAGTAAAAACATGGTCATTGTGAATAATGTAGCTTCAAAATATAGTCCATGCAACAAAATATTTTAGTATGATTCCAATTTTATGGGTTACAATTAATTCTCGATCGGGCTAATAGAGGGGATTAAGCTAGTTTAATCAGATTATAAGCTTAATCAAATATATTTTTAGCATTAAATTTACGTTCGATCTTATGAGCGAACATGTATTCTCACTCGCTATGCTTAGCGCCGTCCTGTGCTAGCTATGTGATCGAGATTTGAAATATCCTTCCCGCCACCACCTTTCTTCAGAGATAGCCCGCGGTTGAAATTTTCTACACTTTAAAATCGTTTCGAAATGTAGCGGAAAAGTTGTCTCCGTGTACCCTATAGGTCATGAGTTCGAGCAGTGGAAGCAGTCACTAATGCTTGCATTTGGGTAGGTCGTTTTGTATAAAGTACACCCCTTCGGTTGCAATTCTTCTCTGAACCCTGCGTGAATACGGGATACTTTGTCCACCGAGCTGCCCTTTTGAAAATCGTTTCGATATCTTGAAGAAAGATAGACACTTATCCTCTTGTATTTTAATAAAACCAATATAATATAACGGCACACTAATGAATATGAAAAGCCACTTCTCCAATTTTGATAAATGGTGTTTTTTTCTTAATTAGGGTATCACAATGAAAATACTAATATATCATGAAGATTAGAAAATTGTATTTGTTTAAAATATACGATGACAGCAAAGAGACGATTTGAAAGAGTATCTTTGAGAGCTTAAGAACATTGAAGATTACAAGGCAAAATAATAAATAAATAAATAAAACATAGCTATGATATAAAGCAAACTCTTACTTTCATGTGGGTCATTCTTCAACTATAGTTAATCAAGATTTAATATTTTTAGACAAATATATAAGTGTTCCCCACACACCATTGACAAGACTTTTTTTGGATCAGACCGTCCCACAAAAACAACATAAATTATAAGCTACATAATATATGCACCTATATATACATCTACACAATTAATCTTGAATGTTTATAACTAAATCTACGCACTTACTCTATTCGTTTTTGTTGGGCTAAACTAGCACAAAGACACTCTTAACATGGTGTGATATTGTTCGCTTTGGGGCAAGCCCGTACGGTTTTCCCCAAAAGGCCTCGCCATTAAGAGATCCCTACATTTTATATGTAGACTCCCAATCTTTTCGTCAAAATAGCACGGTATAGCCAGTTTTCGGACTGGTCATTCAAAAATAGCCAGTGTTTACCAAGTCAATGAAAAATAGCCACTATTTTGTTGCAACAGAGACCGGTCCAGCATAATATACTGGAGTTCGGTGCACCTGTGTATGAACTCCAGCA